CATACGTACACGGGCACACATACACACACATGCATGCACACACACACACACGCACACATAGCCAGATGCTACATTTCACATGCACACACATGCATGCACACGCACACACACGTATGCACGCGCGCACACACATGCATGCACACACACAAGTGCATGCACACACAGCCTGATGCTGCATTTCACATGGGTACTTGTGCACACACATACACATGCACATACACACATGCATGCACACATACGCACATGCACACACGGCCTAATGCTGCATTTCACATGGGTATACATGCACACACATACACACATGCATGCACACGCACACACATACACGCACACACAGCCTGATGTTGCATTTCACACATGCACACATGTGCTCACACATGAGCACACACACATGTGTGCATACACGTACCACACAGTCTGTGCAGGCTCACCCCATCTCTGTACCACCATCTCCAATATTACCACTTCCACCGTCAATGACCCCACCCGGGCCACCATGACCACCTCAGTGTCACCAACCTCCCACTGCCACCCTCACCACACTGCCACTGCTGCTGTCACCACCCCCAGATGCCACCTCCCACGGCCATGCTATGGGCCACTGTGGTCACCCTAGTGACGGTCACATGAAGCGGCTCACGGGGGCCTCTAGGAGGCAAACACTCCAGATGGAAGCTCCAGGGTATGGTCCTGGCTCCTCCCCGACCCCAAGTCGGGAGCGGGAGTCACCAGGCCCCTTTGCTCAGAGAGGACTCCGAGGCCCAGGAAGAAGGAGGGGGCAGGGCTTCCTACTGTGGGGGAGGGGACTTCTGGCTCCTTTTCCTCCCCTGCGACCCCAGTCCTTGAAGGAGAGAACCCCCTCATCCCCACCCAGCAGGGAGAGTGGCCTCAGCCTCTTGGGGCTGCAGACCTGGTGGATACTAGGTTTCCAGACCTCAGCCCACAGGCCCCCTCTCTCTGGAGCCAGGTGGGCTATAGTCTGTTAGGGCCACCCAGTCACCCACTGGGCCCCGTGAGCCCCTGCCCTGGTCACCCTTCCCAGCCTGACCCCCTCCCTGTAACACCTCATGTGACCTCAAGTGTCCAGAGCTGGGGTGGGCAGGGCAGGCAGGCAGGCAGGCAGGCAGGCCAGGACCCGCAGTGGAGTCAGGAGGCACCTTGCCCGGGGGAGCCTCTGGTCAGGTGCCAGGCCACCTCGAAGTCGGACAGACGGCCGGCCCAAGGATCCGAGGTTCCAGGGGGTCCACATGCCCACCTCCAGGCCCACTCACCTGACCCACCACTGGGAACCCCTCCCCTGAGCCTGACTGTCCCACACCTGCCTGCCTCCAAAGATCACTGGAAGGCGGGCTTGCGCAGACCTCCCCTCCAGGGGCCTCGGTTTCCCCAAGTTCAATAAGCTGGATGCACACAGACCCCTTATGGCCAGAAACCGTCTCTGGATTGGACGAGGCTGCCTGCCTGGGCTTCCATCAGACAGCTGGGTCCCGAGCGGCCTCCGCTTTCCCATCCATAAAATGGGTGTATCCTGGACGCTCCCCGTGGGGGTCTCAGCCTGTAACGACAGGGCTCGGGCTTTGATGTCCCACGGGAGAGCCACCCAGGCCCGGGCTGGCCCCAGGACAGGGGAGCCCTCTAGAAGAGCCTCCCTGGGCTGTGGGCAGTGGTCTGCCGGCCCAGAGGACACCACCTGCCAGGCCGCAGGGACCTCCAGCCAGGGGGGGCAGGGATTTCGAGGGTGGGAGTTTGCCCCATCGAGAAGCTCTGGGCCCCTCCAGTGACTGGGGGAGGGAAAGGAACAGGGACATTTCTGCAGAAGGAAGGGACCCATCAGACCTGCCCCAAGCAACCATCCCATTCCCGTGAGGCACAGGTGAGACCGTGCAGCGTGTGCTGAGAGGGAGAGCTAAGGACCCCCAGCCTCCCGTGTGGCCCCGCAGACCCCAGCTGTCCCCTGGTCCTGAGGACAGGGCACCCGGCCCCAGGCGGGGTCAGTAACTGCAGTAAAATCAGCCCTGGGTCACAGCAGCTGCAGTGGGGGGCATGGATTGGGTGAGTTCTCAGCCAGGGTACCAAAAGATCTCCCATCCCATACCAAACCCCTCCCCTACAGGACCCCTCAAGTCCAGTGACAGAGACGCAGGCTTGGGTGGCACCTGGCTGGTTGAAGTAACCTTGCCCATCCCAGGAGCCACCTCAAAATAAAGGGAGAATGGAGTGGGAGAGTGGGTTGGGGCCCCGGCCACCTCCCCAATGGACATGTGACACCCCCCCCCAGCTGCGGGTGAGGGGGAAGGTAGGTGGGGGCGGAGCTGGGGTAGACTGCCCTGTGGTCTAATGGCCGGGCCACGTGGCCACTGCACACCTGGTCTGTCCCGGGGAGTCAGTATAGGCACAGGTGAGAGGCGTCTCACAAACTGTTAAGTGCCTATGGCTGAGGCCTGCTTCCCCCCGTGGAGTCTTCCTCGAGGAGAAGCATTAGTTCGTGCGTTCATTCATTCCTTCCTCCAGCAGACGCCCCGAGGCCCCACCAGCCCAGGCCAAAGGGGGCAGCAATGACTCAGGCGCCGCCAGGTCCCTGTGATCGGGGACACACAGGGACCACATGTAGTGTGCCTGCAGTGCTTCGGCCAGAGCATGTTGCTGGGTTCCAGGGGGCCAGAGAGGGCCCGGGGGTGCCAGGGTGAGGGGTGCAGGTGGCTATCGGACAAATGCTGGACAGCACCCAGCGGAAGGCGCTCAGGGCCAGACCGAGGCTTCTGATACGTGTGGCGCAGCCTGAGGTCGAGGGAGGCAGGGCGGGACGGCGTCCAGTGCAGTCTTGGGGACCTGGCTGGTGGGGTGCTGGCATGGGGACGGGGAAGCAGTTTTGGAGGGGACACACTGAGTGTGAGGGGCCCACAGGACCCAAGCACAGACTGGGGGCAGGAAGCCTCAGGGGCCCGAGGTGGCCCCGGAGGCAGTGGACAGGACAGGGGGGGCCAGCGGGCACGAGCACAGTGGGTCCACTTCCCCAAAGGCCCTGGGGGGTCCTGGCTCACCGGAGCACAGAGAACTGGAGTCAGGACAGACTCTGGCTTGGTGCAACGGGACAAGCCCGAGCCCAGTCCCCAGGGCAGCGGCCAGCTGTGCCATAGGCTGGGGGCGGGGGGGTCCTGGGTTTGACATGCCGACGGGCAGCTCTCCGGGTCTGTCCCCCGGAAGGCAGACAGGATGGAAGAAGGAGACCAAGGCTCTCAGGAGGGGTTGCCGTCACCCTGCCTTGATTTCCCCTGCTGACACGACCCAACAGAAGGCTGCCAGAAGCCCCCCAGAAAATGCTGCTTTCACCAGCCTAGCCTAGCCCCCGCCCCTGGCTCTCTGCCTCAGCCCGGAGACCCCAAGAGCTGGGTGGGGTCAAGAAGAGTGTGGCTTGGGAAGGGGGACAGTGGGGAAATCTAAGTTGAACTGCAGCCCTGCCCCCACCAACTCGTGGCCCTGCAGCAGGACACCTTCCCAGGATCAATCTCCCCGGGCTGTGTGATGGGTCTCTGACAGGCAGGCCGCAGTGCACACCTCTGGAATCCGGTGGCATGTCCCGCCAACACCCTGCCCCCCGTTGCCTTGGGGCCCATGGAGGGCAGCACCCCCGAAGCCCCTCCTTCCAGATGCCCAGTGACGCAGGAGCCACTCGAACAATCAGTGCATCTTTTATTCACAAATAAAAGCTGTCGCGGGTATCATCTACACATTTGTACAAAAGTCTGGGCAGTGCCCACGGGACAGGGAGGCCGCCGCGAGGGTCACACCACACCAACAGCTCACCCACGTCCAGACATGCCCCGAGGAACCCCACCCTGCCCAGCGTGCTCTGACAGACAGAGCCCATCCCACAGCTAGAGGGGACCAGCTGGGGGATGCCTTCCATAGAAAATCATAAAAACAGATCCTTTGTCTTCAAAACCCCACTACAAATGCCATATTCAAAAGCAAAACGATATAAAAATAGGAACCAAACAGAAACTTTACAAAACCCTCATCCCCCCATTTTTTTGCATGGGTGTTCTGTTTTTTGCTGTGGTTTTGGTAAAAATTCCTGCCGTGGATGGAGGCACGGTGCCTCCCGTGTCCCAGGCTGCAGAGAGCAGGTGCCAGGAGGGGAGGGGCCATAACCATCCAGCCCCGCCGACCCTTCAGTGGCCCCACACAGACCCAGGCCTGGGACAGCTGGTGAGAGCAGACCTCCACAAAAGAAAACTCGTCCTGAATCCTAAACAAGACCCCTGACGGGTACAGGCATGTCCTGACGGGCACAGGCGTGTCCTGCTACGTACAACACCTGGCGGTGAAGGCTTGGCCGGGTCTGCGGGCACCACCATGCGGGCTCCTGCCGGGACCGGGGGCGTGGGCGACCGTGCGGCCCGTCTGCTGGTGTCTCGAGTACTTAGCACCAAACGTGAAAAGGAGAACAGTACTCATCACGGTAAAGGCACTTGCGTTGCTGTTTGGCGGTGAAAGGCTGTCTCTCTCTCACTCCCTGTTCTCCTGCTCTGCCAGCTCCCCCTCCCCCACGTTCCATCACCTCTCTGAGACCCCACCCCCATCCTACGTCCTCGTCCCTCCAACCGTGCCACGTTCTCGCCCCCTCACACCTCCATCTTCACGCCCCCTGCACATCCCCTTCCCTCTGGCCCAGCCCCTGGCCTCAGACGTCCACCTCCTGTGGCCCCCGGACGGCAGCCTCAGACGTCCACCTCCTACATCCCCCGGACGGCAGCCTCAGACGTCCACCTCCTACATCCCCC